GTGGAGAATGTGGGGGGAGTTATCTTGAACGAAAGGATATCTGGATAGGTGTGGTGAGTTCACGTTTTGTGGAGCTGTAGGATGCTCGGTTATCGACTACGCTATATGTTCCTTTGTCCTCCTTCCGCTTATTATTAGCTTTTCTATTGGTAAAAAAGAATTCTCTGACCATATGCCGCTTTTGATGCAGTTCTCGGTGCCGGAGAAGGAAGACACGGATTCTTTAGGGGTTTGTCCTGCAAAGATACTGTGGAAGTCTAAGTTAGCTCATAGATATAATGGAGTCATTAGCTCTATGCCGAGCTGTGACTTTGGACAAAATTGATGTTTTGGTATCCACTTTAACAAATAAAGTAAAATCTGCTGCTCCGGAAAGCCTTGGCAAACCGTATTTCACGCCAAAAAACAATTGGTTCGACAGCCAATGCTTGATGACACGTAAAAACATGGTAAAACATTTAGATGTACTAGTTCTTAGGCAGCTTGTGTATTGTATGTATCCTCTCGCGCAAGCTATTTCAAGCTTTGCTGTAAGAAAAAATTCGAACATAGATGTAAGGAAATTGACCTATTAAACACTGTTAGGAACTCCAGTGACTGGTGGCGAATTGCAAACTGTTTGAAATGTCGTTCCCAGAGAGTGAAGTGTATCCTTTCCTTGCAGGATCTTTACAGCCATTTTGAAACTTTGCTATCTTGCACAGCTGGCACACCTTGCGTGCACTGGACTTTGCCCTCAGTTGTGGACCCGTTTCTAGATTCTCCTTTTGAACTCCGCGAGCTGAAGCTTGTTCTTAACGGGCTTAGAGAAAATAAGGCTCCTGGTCAAGATGGTATTAGCTATGAATTCTATAAGTACGCCCCAGAGTGTTTTCTAACTGAGCTTCTTGCAATGTACAATACAATATTTCTTAAAAAGCAAATTCCTCAAAGTTTTCGTAACGCTATTATTGGTTCTCTTTTTAAAAAAGGTGATCCAGACGTTCCGTCCATCTACAGGGGTCTCTCTTTGCTCAACACAATATATAAAATTGTTGCTGGTCTTCTGCTGAGCCGTCTAAATGCGTGGCTTGACTGTAATAATATAATAACCGAATTTCAAGCTGGCTTCCGCAAAAATTATTCAACAATGAACAATCTTTTTAGTCTAACTAGTATTATACACTTGAATTTTAATGCGAAAAAGAAAACTTATGCTTTCCTCGTCGACTTTTCATGTGCTTTCGACACAATTCCTCGCGGTATGCTTTTCTACAAGCTAGCCTGTCTCGGTCTCTCCAGCCATATTGTAGAGGTTATACTTTTTTGGTAATCAAGGTGTACGTCAAGGTTGTTTGTTGGGTCCAACCCTTTTCTCATTATGTCTTAATGATTTAAGTGACAGCCTCCCCTGCGGAGTGAAAGTTGGTGACACAATAGTAAAAGTTCTGATGTACGCCGACGATATTGTGCTTTTAGCAGATTCTGCATTAGATTTACAAAAAATTATAGACGAGATTCACGTTTACAGTATGCAGTAGAGGCTGAAGGCTAACCTCGCCAAATCTTAAATTTTAGTGTTTAGGGAATGCAGTAGAGTTCCTTTCGGATGTCGTTGGAATTTTGGAAATCAGGTTATTGATATTGTCAATGAGTATAAGTATTTGGGTTAACTTTTAAGCTACAAACTTACTTTTGTGAAGCACTTAGACGCAAAACTAGTTGAGGCCAAAACTGCGGTAAACGTCACATGGATCAAATATATAAACAACCCTCGTATCTCTATCTCGAAGAAGATGAATATTTTCGATGCTGCGGCTAGGTCCATTATGCTTTACGGTGCACAAATCTGGGGTATTGATAAGTTTGAACCCGTAGAGAAACTCCCGCGTTTCTTTTTAAAAAAGTTAATATTTCTTCCCTCTAATACCCCAAACTATATGCTGCACCTGGAAACCGGGTTATGCCCTCAATTTTTCCTCACCTTACGTGCCCCTATGTTCTTTATTGGGCGCTTTTTTAGTCTGCCGTCTAACAGAATGTCCCGCATCGTGGTCGAGGAGACAGTGCGACAAGGTTCATACTGGACTAAAAAGTGGTACAATATTTATGAAAGTGTTAATATGGAACCGGATTTCTCCCCTTCGCCGCTTAAAAAGAACATTCCTTTAATATTAGAAAAGCTGGTCCAAACAGAGTTTGCGAACTTCACTGAAAGAGCACAAAAGTCCCAAACGCATACAGGCATACAGGCCCTACCTACTTTAATGATGACCATACTGCGTATGCTACAAGTCTTATTTTTCGCGCAAGAGGTGGCTTACTTAATTTTAATGCAAGATCTTTTAAAAATATTTCTACTAACACCTGCTCTATTTGCAATTTGAGAGCTGTTGAAGACACCTATCATTTCATTGGGGAATGTCCTATATACAAATATATTCGTTTCGATTGTTTTGGTGAGAAAGTCTTGGACCTGCCAAGAGTTTTAAATATTCTTAATAATGGTAACTATCGTTCACTGCATATTTATATAAGAAATTGCCTTAAATATAGAGAGCTGATTGTAAATGAGTTTGCTTCAAAAAAAAACATGTATATAAATGTATATATATAATATTGTCCAGTTCTAAGTGCAGTTCTAAGTTGTTATTGTCTATGATCTTTTATTTGTTTAAATTTATTTATTATTATTATTATTTAGTGCTGATATGAATATCGAAACTAATAGTTTATATGAGCATCAGCTCAAATTTAATTTAAATTTATTTAAATTTAAATTTTACAGTTTGTTTGAATTTCTCAAAACTTTTATAATTCAGTATCTGAAGAAAATAAATAAAATTACTGTTCCTACTACTACTACTATTCCGACTGAAGTGTTGCTACACCGCTGTGTGGTTCAGGTCGGCGCTGTGTTCTCTCTGCTCTAGCCGTCTCATCACTCCTAGGCAGTTCGCGCATATGCTGATATCTCTCCGTGACCCGCGGAGGGGTTCGCGCTGCGGCTCTCTGTGGCTCTCTCACCGGGGGGATATTTTCCATGTCTTCCGCCAAACTCACTAGCTCTTCTAGAGTGCTGTACTCGGATCGTTTAACATACCATTGGAACTTGCTTCTACAGTTTGTGTAGATACGCGTCAGCTTCTGCTCTGAGTTGTAGTTCGCGAGTCGCATCAGACTCTGGAGGGCCAGCACATAGTCTTTGAATTTCTCGTTCTGTTGTTGGACGCGACGACGGATCTCATCGTCTGGGGTTTCGTGGTAGCGAGAGTTTACGAAGAACCTTAGGAAGTCCCTTTTGAATTCCTCCCACTGCTGCCAATTTCGCTTATAACTGCGGAACCATGTCAACGCATTCTCTTTAAGTAGTTCTCGCATTGTTCGCGGTAATAAGTCGCGATTCACCTCGTATACTTTCGCCAATTCTTCTACACGCTCTATGAAGCTGAGCGGCTCCGTCGTATTTGAAACCCCACTTACGGACTCGGTCCATGATGGTTGCCAGTGATATCGTAGGATACGTTGCGTATGGTTGTGGTGTCCCAAACGCGTCAATGGGCATTGGTGACTGCATGACACTGGCTCCCTGGCTTCCGCTTGGTGTTGCTGCGGTAACAGTCAGCGCAGGCTTCGAGTGTTTCGCTTCTAGCTCTTCGAACCGCGTTTGGTAATCTTCGTTGTTACTCTCTTCTTGTATAAATGCAGAGAAGCGTATTCGCAGCTTATCGACTGTTCCGGACTGTGTGGACTGCTCCTCTCGGTTGAGGTAATGTACCAACTTTCTCTTCACCATTTTTTTTCACACTGTTTTTTCACTGGACCGCCTACTAGTAGTTCTTCGGGTGGTCACTGCACTTTGTGTCTCTCTCACATGTTCCTTTATTGCTTCTTGAGTTTGAGTCTTTCAGGTGGTCACTGAACTCTGTGTCTCTATCACTTGTGTTCTCTTTTTTTCACTTCACTTTTATTTCTTAACGGCACCCTCCTTTATGTTTGTTTCCTTTAGAGTCCCTGCTTGGGCGCCATTTGTAACGGTATTTCCTGAGTGCTGGGCGTAGCTCTCGGTTGTCCAGGGTCCTGTAAGGAGTAAACACCCTATCTCCTCAAGAAATTATAACACACTCGCTTCTGGTTTATAGCCCCATTATTTGCTATACTCTCGCTATATCCAATCTCTGAAGTATATAACTAGAGTAGGTTTAAACCTTACAGCTAGCACCAGTCTCAGTGGTTAAAGCCCACTTCGAATATATAGTAATAGTCTCGGAGGTTTGATCCCTCTTCCACTACCCGTGCGACCCCCGTTGCGACGCGTACCACGTATGCCTAGCTAATGAACAATGCTTTTTAGCACTGCTCTTTTTATACCATTTTGTCCAAGAACGAAAGAATACAAGATTGCGCATTCCCGCAGAATGACATTTGCGGCAACGGGTAAACAAAGAATTTGGCGAAGAACAATGAGTTGACAGTTGTGAATTTGCAATGAGAAAACGAGTTTTCTTCACAATTCACCAATTTTTCAAGCCATCCTATAGCAAATTAAGCACAACGTTAACAAAAATTATACAACCACTCTTGAAATGTGTTCAAAAGAATAGAAAGAATTTTGTGTTTGTATTGCAGGTGCCGGAAAAGTTATAATATCTTGTCGCAGCGCATGTTTTCCTGCAGAAAGTGGTCGATGCTTGCTTACCTCCGATTTTAATTTGTAAATTGTGGTATTTCAACGTTTTCAACTTAACTTTCCGTGTTTAAAAGTGGTCCTTTCAATTGTATGTGGGCTGGTGTTGCTGTTTGAGAACTGTGAAGCTGTGGAATCAACTAAGTTGCCGCCTTGTAAATCATGCACTGTGCTTGTGGAATCATTTAATTTGGTGAGTGCGTGGCAGTAATAACAAATTTGTGTCGTATTAATATAAACTTTGCTTACAGGGTTTGGAAAAAATAAGTCGCGGCAAGAATGCCGGTGGTGATGCAGCTTAATTTCCATAAATGACGTGGTGCTTTATCATGCGCGGAATGCACTTAAAGGCATGGTACGTCCTCAGAGTTTAAAGATTTGTCAATTCCAAATAAACACGGGCTTCATACCGGAACAAGAAACATTGATAACATTTTCCTCGAATGATCTCGATGATTTACCGGATGCCGATCAGGTTCCTCATGACTTTTCGGTTTCGCTGTCGTTGAGATTCACGGATAACGAATTTCCGCCGAGTAGGAATCCTCCTTGGTTACCAGCAAAGCCCATAAGAAACGCACAACATATATTTAGTTCGCAATTAGAATTCGAGGAAATGGTGGATAATTTCGGCAAGTCCCTATAGTATTTCCGCCCATTTCATTAATTTATTTATTTTCCTTCCTACAGTGACAAAACCTAGTTCCATCAACAAACCTACGCCTGTTAGGTCAGCTGCTTCGGTAGATAAAGCCTATTTTACCAGATGCTACCGAAATAAAGCAAGAGGATGTACCTCGAATCCAACCTCAACCATCACCACCAATAGACATGCTCAATTTAAGCCAGCCCCAACCCCAGCTGCCGGTGCAAGATCCACAAGCCACTGTTATGCCAACGAGTGACGCTAGTTTCGATTTGCTTGGAGCATTCGGGGATGATAATTCATCTGGCATTGGCTCGGCTCCAATACCTGATATTTTAGGTAAGGATTTGGTAGATTCAAAAAAGTCTTAGACTTTTAGGCGGCCATCCAAATTAATATTTGCTAAGTTCTGAATTGAGACCTACATTTCTATTTTAGAAATCAACCTGGAGTTTGATAGTTTTTCTGTAAACCAGCCGACACCAACTAGTGCAAACCAACCTGGTGTATTGGTGTGTGTCGCGTCAGTCTCAGAAAATAGTCTTGCATCAACAACCAGAGCTCAGTACGTCATAGTTATTTTTATTCTCTGTTTTTGGAAGCTAGTGCGATGAGGTATAGTTTTAATAAACATTTATTCGATTTGAAATTTTTACTACTATAGTCTTTATTTTACAGTATATTATATACATATATTTGCAGTATATTATATTTTCATTTGTCCACTTAGTTAAGTTTAACTATAACGAAGCAAAATGATGTGTAAAACCAAGTAATTGCTATTAAATCTAAGTAAAAAAATATACAATTTAAATGATAATTATTAAAAAGATACATACATACATATATACGTTAAGAACATAAATATATATAGGATATAAAATTTTAATCTCTTTGTCAACTTAATTGCGGCCCTGAAAAGGGCCTCTTGTTGATTGGTATATATGTATGAAAAGGGCCTTTGGATAAATCATATTACTTGCCTGCAAATAAATAAGTTTATATTTGCATAAAAGACGCTTGATGATTTTTTAAAACTAGGGACTTACGTAGCATGCAAGTATTTTAATTTTAGGCGTCTGAAATACTGAGATCAGTGCGTGTGAAATGCGGACATTGATTCATGCTGCAAGTAAAGAACGGTTAATTTCTACAAATTTAAAAACGCTTTAGTTCAAAACTTACCACATGTTTGGTGTTTTATGCAATACTTACGGTTCTATAATGGTACCATATGGATCGATCTAGGTCAGAGCTTTTTGGCTTTTTTTTTTCTTTTGTGGGCATTTTCAACGAGTTCTTTATTTAATTTTCGTATTTTGAAGAACATTCTTGCCCTGAAAAATAATTTTTTTACTTTAATGTCGCATTGAATTGTTGCAGCATGCTCAATGTGAGTTTTTACAAAATCATTTGTAATGAGCAAGCCGTCTTCGTTCAATGCCTTAAAGACTGACTCAAGACTTCGCATATGGACCATCATAGAGGAGCTTGGTAGGGATAACCCACCCTCATTAAGGTGATCCGCCCAGGAGAATGAATGGTCGTCAGTGCTCCTGAACGACGTGCTGGGAATGTCATCCTGCAGCTTGTGGCAAATATATCCCGCTAAATGCTCGAGTCCGTCTAGCTCCAAATCCTCTTCTACATTAGCAGAATCGGATAATACGCCCTTGTTGTGTCCTAGCAGGTATAGTCGCAGACGGTACTTGAATTCCTGTTGGTCAGGGTGATCATGTAACCCGCCTTTTGACCGAATAATGCCGAAGAAATTTTCGAGTACGTCTTGGTTTAGCCGATACGTCAAGACATACTTGACATTAAAGCGAGCTTTAATGCCCTCGAATAACAACTTCAACGCCGTATTACTTTGAATGATTCCTAGGGATATAGTAAGAAAAAATAACAAACATTTAAGGTTATTCTTGAGATAACCATATGTATTAGTTTACCTTTTTGGAATGGCAGCAGACTAAATTTGCCAAGTACCCTCATATTTTTGACTAGGTCGGTCATCTCGTCTAGGATCTTGTTTTGCTCCTCGATCGCTAAACCGTAAGCGAGACACCGCTTCCTGGAGTCGGCGTGAGGCACCCTGACGTTTAGAACGTCAAAGCAGTCATTTGTCTAAGGTGTATAATTTGAACATGAGTTTTAATATTGCGGTTTAAATATATCGTAACCTTAATTCACAAAGGCCCTAAACAAAAAAAAATATATATTTTATAGCATGAGCAATAAACGTTATAAAAATAGTATCGAAAATAGGTAGAGCTTTTGAAAAAGGGGCATGTAACTCCGTTGCTTTTGGTACCTACACTTTAAAATTTTTATTTAAGCTATATTTTAGTACGAAAAACTGTTGGTTAGAGCCTTTGTGAATTAAGATAACGATATGTAATATAGTAAAATATATAATATATCAATTTCATAATATAATATAATAACACATACTGTTTTGAATAACTGGAAGCATTCGGTCCAGATTTGGTTCTGCAAATGACCCAGACTTGCTGCCCTTGTTACGGCCTGCGCCACAGTATGCGAAAATAGTTTCGCTGCCGTCTTGACCTTTTGGCGGTGAGCTCCAGCCACGGTCAAGTTACTTGCAGAAATCTTGTGAGTTATTGTCAAGTCCGTGCTTGTAATTGACAATAACTCCAAAATTATTTCCTTTTTCACGCTGGTGTCTAAATTGTATGGCTTCTCCTGCCGGCAGAACTCTACCCACTTTCTGGCCAAGGCGTCGTCGCGGGGAAACAAAAAAAAACTGCATTTGGGGCCTTTACCCCTACGGCTGCTGCAATTGAACACACGACACGACATTTTTATAAAGTTTTTATTACAAATAAAATGATTTTTACTTCAGAACGCACGAATTACTTCGATTTTTCACTTGAAAATACACAATACGTTTGCAATACGTTTGCACTTGTTTATAAACAAAAAGATTGTTTACGTATTGCCATAAACGTCAAAGTCGGCAAAACCAAAGTAGCGGTTTCGGGAATGCGCCACCTTCAGTTCATTACACCATGCATTTTGTCCATCCGCAGACAGTTATCCTCATAACAATTGTTTGTGCTTTATGCGCAACGTAATAATTCAATATATGTATGTGCATATGTACATGGGTATATACGTATACAAACTACAATTCAAATAAGCGTACGTATATACATATATATATTAATAATTCAACCATAAGTATATATTTGTACATGTGTCTAGCAGCTCATACAATTCCAATTAAAAAAAATGCATAATATATATATAAATTGTTGTGGGGCCCAGGGCCACATTTATACATACAATTACAATACATTTACTGTACACAAAATACACGTGAACATTGCAAAGATCGTATATTTATAAATATATAGGTGTTAGGTGTTTTTTTATATGTAACTTTGCTGGTGAAACTGCAAAGAATTTACCAACAAATTAGTTAAAATTAGAATTAAAAAAAGTTAAAAAAAGTTACTAATAAAGTGAAAAGAGTGATAAATAATGTAGTAATTTCTACATGGTAAGTGCACTGAAAATAACATCTGCGTAAATATAACGAAAACTTGCGTATATCTTACGAAATGTTTCGTCCTTTTGACCCACGAAAGTTTTCGTTAATTGTACAAAACCGTTTTCGTACATACTACGAAAATATGAGACATCAGACCTTTGGTATACTTTACGAGTGCGTTCGTACTGTTTACTAAAGAATTTCGTATTATGTCTTTGTTTTTTTTTACCAAATTTTTATAATAATAATTCGTATATTTAACGAAATTATTTTCGTAAACCTTGCGTTTGTTGCATTCATTCGCAACACTGTAAAAACCATTGTATTAGTTAAAACACAACACTTTTATTCTATTTTTATCGTAAATTTGTAGCGGTTTGTTTAACAAATTGTTTTGCAAAAACGCTTAACATTAATGATAAAAGTATAATGAAAGTGTTTTGTTATCATTTCAGCTATGGTTTTTATAGTCTGTGAGTATGCGTATACTTTCCATCTATAAATAAAATAATGAAATATTTTCAAACTTGTTTAAAATATCCAAAAACTTGTATAGGGCAGCTAAATTTTAATTGAAAAATACGCGTATAGGCAGATAAATGCGCTATTTATCCCCCCATGGTTTTGTGGTGAATTTGTGTTACCAAATAAAAACGCTGTTGATTATCTTTTACAGTGGAGTACAATTCATACCGTTTAAAATTAAATAAATATTCATTATTTTACAAATGTATTCCGATTGGAGGCCGCTGTGGTGTAGTGGTTAGTAGTGCGCGCTACCATTCCGCATGGCAAACACTATTATCCAAAAGTAAATAGCCAAAAGCAATGAGGTTATCAAGGACCTCATTTCTAGTTCCGAATAAGAAGACGAAATCAGGGTCAAGCTAAAAAAAAGAAGTTATTTTAACGAAAGAGATAAATAAGAATGAGCTTTACAGCCCTATTCGCGTGTTGTCACAGTTGAATTGTCATTATCGTATCATCAACTGATGTCATAGGTATGCACAGTCAGTAATGACAAGCGAAAAGCTCGTTTTATTTGCCAATTGCGACGAAAGTTTATCTGTTCTGTTTCAGCTGTTCTTTGTTTACACTATAATTATTCTTTTTGACCGCCACTGCAACGGACGGGATTTATTTTAAATAAAATACACCGCAGCAATGGATTACGAAACGCCGGAAAAGTGAGTAACTTTATAATAGGAAAATTGATTTCATTTTATTATGAATTCGTCGATTAACATGCGTGGAAAATATGAACGCACCACACAATGGCAGCTGCAGTTTTGTAAAGACCACCCCAACTGCAAACGTGTAAAAACTGTCAAAAAAACTGTTGTCTCGGAGGTACATAATATTTATTTCCTCCATGAATTATATTCGGCTAGGGATACTATTATAATATGCATACGCAAATAATAACTTTTTAACGCTCTTATTTAGGCAAAACAAATCGTTTCACAAATTTCATTTAGTAAAATTTTGCAACTTCTTTCTACAAAATTAATAAAATTGAAAATATTAACATATGTTTCAGCGTTGTCACGTACTCAATAGGTCATCACAAAAATAGTAGCAATTGTCACCGTTGGAGCTTTAAAATTACCCTCTCCATACCTAAACGGGACAATTGATTATAAACATGGCAATAGTTATAGCGGCGAGTTTTGTCATTTCACGCGAATAGGGTTGTTAGTCTTACCAAACGAAAACCATCGGGCAATTTGTATTGCGGTCAAACATCAAATATTTGTTTTGTATTATTTATTGTCGGTGTCTTGAATGCTGTAAAGCGCACGAGCACCAGTGTTTGTCTTTTTCTGATAATCCATTGCATTGAGATCATGCATCAACGCTCTATATGCAACAATAAAAATAAAATGCAACAAAAC